AAGGGACACGTAGCATAGCGTACCCACCGGTGATCGGGTGCGCATGCGTGACTGAGCGCTTTCAGCTATGTGGGTTCTCTAAGTCTAATGAGGTCAGCATCAATTTCGAAGGCTTACAGAGATATTGACTTTGGGGATCTATTTACCGCTACACTACTCTTTGCCCCTTATGCATATTTGGAATGTTCATACCAATTTCATATCGCATTATGGATCAACAAGTTGGATGACGCTGCACTATGAGATATACATTCGTGTACTGACAGTACGGTGACTGCTTCTATATTACGTTTGTTACAAAGAAGAGTGAGGTTTTTTTATTGTGCAGAACACTGGATACAGTTCAACGACGACCCGATGAAGCCAACGGAAATCCAATGATACTTGCTAAGAATACGAATTCGCAAATGATTAGCGAAAAAGTTCTTCAAATATTCATTCAATTTTAATTCGAAATCTCACATATAACCAATCTCTCAACTATGTCAATGTTTATCTATTGCGCTTGTCGTTGAATATACTGCCAAGATAGGACAGTAGTGGCATTGGGCCCTAACTACACAATCCACAAAGCTGAAAATGAAACAATTGAGGAAACAGACATATAAAATTTAACACGGAGAGAAATCCAACGAGGGGGAAGGCGGGAACAATGAATGAAATTAATTCGAGTTGATCGGATGGCATGAGTCGGCCTTGCAGGCGTGGTCCCTGTTGAATGTCATCACATATCTTTTATTCATGTCAAATGTATTGTTCTGTCTCTATCAAGCGACTGGAAGAACACCATAGTAAGTCCTATCTCCAAACCGGTACGAAACATACACCTGAAAACTACTGATTCACTAGCCCAAGAAGCTTGGGTGTTAAAATTTCGGAAAAGACTACTTGGAATTAGCTGTTTACGTATCTTGATGAAAACTGGATTCTTTCGGGAGAGCACTATGGCATTATAGTAGGCTATTCCTGTTTCACTAAATTGTTCGTGACTGTTGAAAGCTGGTGAGCTCTTAAATACCAAAAGTTACTTATAGACATAGCCTACATTGACTTCAGCAAAGCTTTTGACAAAGTTCCTCACAACCGGCTGTTATATAAGTTAAGAAATGTCAGGGTTGAGGTCAATTTATTAATGTGGAGGAAAAACTTCCTGGTTGGGGGCCAACAAACAGTACGAGTCAACTCCAAGTTGTCTACATGGGAAGCTGTGCTTGGTGGAGTGCCTCTAGGTGCGCTTTCAGGGGTCAGTGTTGTTCCTCCTCTGTGATTTGCCTAGTATCCTCTCACCATCAGTTTTCTTATATGCTGACGATGTCAAGATATGGAGAGTGATAAAAAGTAAAGGTGATAATTCAGAGCTTCAAAATGACTTGAAGAGATTATCTGAATGGTCTCAAACTTGGTAGTTACCAACAAACACTTCCAAGTGGATTGTGGTGCCTTTTGATCATCAAGGTACAGATAAATGTATAAGATCTAAACTAAGGTTTGGACTGCAGAATAGCTGTCTATGTGGGTTAGATACGAGCTCTTGACCGGTCAAAGCTCAAACAAAGTAATTGGGTAAAATGACGGTTCTAAACAAATATGACCACCCAGCTATCCAACCAATAATTGTTCAACTAATCAAGTCAATCACAACAAATAAATGTTATTCTATCCTGTCTGGATAGGCACAGATTCGTTCAAAAGATAATATTTGGTTGCTTTATAACAATTCCCATTCGAAAAGGGTGCTTCAATTAACAATCAAAAAATGCGCAATTCCAGTCAATACAAGCAACACAATCAAAAGGAGGAACAAACCAATATGACTGCCGCCAAGACTAAGTATAAAGTAAGGCAACATAAATGCAGTTCAGAAAGATACATGGAAACTTAGTAAAAGCGTAAGAATTTTGTTCTCTGAGCTGGATGGTTTGAGCTTTCATCGTTCTCTCGAACGACAGCATCAGCACAAACTTCAGATAGATAGACTTCTATCTGGAGTTTGTGCTGATGATGTCGTTCAGAAGAACGATGAAAGCTCAAACAATCCAGCTCAGAGAACAAAACTCCACCAAAAGCGTAAGAAAAATAAAAAGTATAATGAAATACAAATATTACCAACTCAAATGGAATCAAAAAGACTAACAAAATATACAACTAAAGGAATCACTAGGATCAATCTGCAAGTGTAGACATGGAGAGATTTTCACACACAAAACATTCGAAGTGGATCTTACAATATACACGATGAGTAACATTGATCTACCTGTTGTCCAGACACACAATGACTTGGGAGTCACCGTCAGCTAAGACCTAACTACTACTACACACTGCCGTGCGATAGCCGTCAATGATTTTAGAACCCTATAATCAATATGAGAAGCCTTTAGCTATATCGACGCCCAACTATTTTTGACTATGTATACAGTATTCGTACGAACTGCATACGAACGGTTAGCCCCTGCTTAAAAAACGACAGTGAACGCTTTGAAAAGATTTAGAGAGCAGCAATTAAGCTGATTCCCAAAATAGCGAAGCTACCGTATCATGTTTGACTGGCTAAACTAAACTCATTCCCATTTTCATATAAAAAATGTACGGGATGCTTGATCACAGTTTCTAAACTGTAAATTTGAATCTGAAATGCCTTGATTTTTCTTGTCTTCCAAATCCGAGAATTTACGACGACACTCCAAAACGTTTAGAAGCCCAGAACAAATTATTTGACAGCTAACTATCGACTTTCCCATCGAATCATAAGCGAGTGGAGTTCATTATTATGACACATGATTGAAGCTCCATCTGCCGACTATTTCACGAGAAAGTTGGATCAACTGAGAGATCATCATTGCCAGGACAAACACAGGAAACCTAACCTACTGTCGTTCCCAAGCGAAAGCTGGAGTTGATTTATACGGATCGTTATTAAGGTGCCGTTTTCGCTACCCTAAAGGTGAAGCCAATCAGAAATAGCGTCGCTGAATTCAAATCAAATTTAGAGCTGTCTTTATTTTGCCGCTTCTAGAATAACTTACGGATTATCGAAGTGAATCACCAATCATTTTACGACGGCCTGACCAACAAGTGCTCAGTAACCTTCACCAATGGACGATGCCAATCCGGTCTTTATTAAATGTAGGTACATTCTATGTGCTTATCGAGTCTTGGACTTTGACGCAAAGTTCACTCATTCATTTGACTAAAGAGAGTTTTGCCAATATGGCTGATGTCCGTTCGTGTCGAAACCCCTAAATCCAGTTCCTTGCCTTAACAACCAACTGTAAATTTTAGTTCTAATTCATCACATTGCTTTGTAACCTTCATTTAGTCCTAGTTAATAATTTTCAAGGTCACTTCGGCGTCGATGAAAGGTCGTTCATAAATTACAACGTCACCTCGTCACTGCCTAAAGTGGTACCAAGTTCCTCTCTATTTTCACCATTCCTGTGTGCATGGATGTTCTTTTGTATTATATCATGCTTCATATGAACGACGGAATATAACAGTAGGTTTTTTGTCTTGTATATACAGAACTTAAGTTTGTCATTATATGATGACAGACTTAAGTTTTAAAAGTATTGCAACATTTTAGTACTCGTGTTCAAACATAAGTAAAATATGTATTGTACAAATTTTTTGCACGATAAATTTCCGTTTACGGAAGTACACATATATCAGATTCAGATTTGTGTGGTAAGGACAGAAGGCCTACAGCCTATGTTATTCCTTTTCTAGTATGCTTCTGTGAGTGTCCAGTCTTCTCTTGAAAGAGTCATTTGAAGGTGCGGACACCACTGCTTGAGGCAGCAGGTTCCAAGTATTGATGACTCGGTGTGAAAACCTGTATGCCACGGGTATTTTGTTCGTTCTTGGCTTTTCTACTCGCCTGCTATGTCCTCTGAGGTGTCCCGAAATCTCACTATATATGTGCCTTTGTGTTTACCTATACGTTGGACAAAATGCTACGTGTTCAGGTGTTATATTCTAAGTGAATCTTTTGGGTGAAACTCTATTCTATGGACGACCTTTGAACGAATTTTTAAGTGACCTTGAGAACATTAGCCAATCAGAAGAGAGTTAGTATAAAGTAAAAATATATTATAAAAAACTGATGAATTACAATGGATATTCTTCTTTTACATGATTTAAGAACTTGTTGAGGTTTGATAAAGGTTCGGAAGTTTTGAAATCATAGTGCATGCGGTATAAGAACTAGTCCATATAGCTCCATAGTAATCGTCCTCTGGAGCCGTGGTAAGGTCTTAAAAAATACTTCAGCCTTGACCACATGCCTTCAATATTGTTTGTATGGACCCCAGTCGTTGGATCAAATGATTCATGTACTTGTGTCATTTTCATTGCGCATATATCACGACAATATTCATACCACTGAACGGCGGAAGTTTCCGTAACATCTGCAAAAGCCGCAGATAATGTTACTGGAGACTTTATGATCCAATTTGCAACGATTATCATGATTTGTCTTAGCCTTAGCCGTGACCGGGCAAAAAAAGTGCCAGTTCGAGCAGATTTTTTTCTCCAACATAAAGTACAACGAAATACAATGTCATCACGGTAGTCAGCACATCGTGTTGCGGTCATTTGATTGCCGCAGTCACAAACACAGGAACTTCTCAATAGTCCCATCTGCTGTAGTCTCTCAACAATCACGTCTTCTCTAAAATCTGCTGTAAAACGATCGAATGTGAGCGTCTCGCATTAAACTTAGCGCCGTGACCTTGAAGCTCCTTAAACGCCTCTGATTGGCTCGTCCATAAATTAGAGTCCTACCATCTTTTGCATCTGAACCAGACGGTACACGCTGTTCAGCCCAATATGAAAGACATTTTGACGGGAAGTACATCCCGTAAATATTTTGTGTTAACATCTTTTTCCATGGACAAAGCATGTGTCCAACTATTCTGGGATCCTCCGAAATTTCGTTTTTGTTTTCTCCAAATTCTTATTCGGTTGCTATCAAAAGTCAGCTGCAGATAATTGTATACTCGGTGAAAACGTGAGAATTTGATAGTTTTGGTATTTACGTATAATTCCATTAAAATGTTCACACTATGTGGGGTTTACAGTTTATTTAACATATTTCGGATTTAGAAAACTGCATTCGGATTCTGGTGATATATAGTAATCATCATTTAAATTTACTTTACTGACTAGCAATGCCCAAAATCGCATGTTGAGTTCTGTGGTAATGGTGCGTGGAATAACGCTCAAGTCAGAGAGAAAACAGTCACCGCACATGTAGGTGTTGTATTTTGTAACCCAAATTACGCGTGAAATAATGTGCAGAGTAATTGACGTTATTTGCAGACATCGCTAACTGAATAGGCTAAATCTGTTGTGGTAGATCCATGTTGTACAAATATCGATATAATGACTACGTGGTTTTTGTGTGACACCATTAGACCTCGTGAAAACTTACAGTATTTTCAGCTTATTCATCTTTGTTTTCCCCTAGACTTCCCTATCAAGTAATTCACATCAACTTTCTGGTTTCGCCAGTCACCGTTTCTATTTTTATTTTGTTTGTAGTTACTTGAATGAATACAGATACTTCATCGGAGTCGATAATCAGACATTCTAGCATCCAATCAACGTCAAATAGACATCCACCACTCTGGGATCCCGTACTAATTGGATGTGGGATTACGACTGTTACTTCATGCTACATTTTTTGGTCATTCATCTCTCCTGCATTTCGGAAAATTTGTTTACCATTCTTACCTGCTACGTCGACTCAGCTAGATAATACGTACAAGCTTCTGGAGTATGCTCAAAGTCAAAGAGGTGATAAGTCATTAGGATCCATAATTGATCTAGGCAGCGGTGATGGACGTGTGGTTAGTATGGATTATTTTTATTTCCGATTTCCCATTTAAACAGATATACTAGTTTTGTCACAGATACTCGGTAAAGAGTATGTTTTAAGGCATCTTATATTGTTGTTACTTTTCTTGTGTATTTTTTGCAACTGAAATTCTGCAGCTAATCCAAATTTGTTTTGTACTAGTCCGGCCAAAAGTATTATCTACGTGAATCGTAATTAAAAGCTTGTGAAGTCCGGACATAGAAGCCTTCTATATAATAATACAAGCTTTTTGAAATTTCATACGCGTAATTAACTCCCAAATGTAAAATGTAACTTCCGGATTGGCTAGTGTCATCGCTCGAATTAGTGATAAGGAGTAAAGTAGTTGAACACACCGACCCGCTTAATCTATTTTGGGAGTTCTATCGTTCTGATAGTCTGGTGTCTGATGAAATTTCGGGATGAACTCAGAATACCCAACTGGATTTCTTCATTTTGCATCACGTATAGTGTAGGCGAGATATCCGTCCTCCAACCAAAGGACGAGTTTACTGCGCAGCAGTTTTTGTTTGTTCTACTTTAGGAATGTAAAACATGGCCATTAAGAATTGGGGATGTTCGTAGGTTACTGGTATTCGAAGCATTTCTCGTGTATTTTGGGACCATGGAGTAAGCAATTGGTGGGTTCGGAATAAAGTACTAGATAAAGGTAGGAGATCGATTGAATGGATAGCAAATCTCCATCAAATGAGGTGGTTGGGACATATGCTTCGTATGCCCAAACACCACCTACCTCGACGGGCAATGTTTTTTAGTGCAGGAGTTGGCTGGAAGAAAAAGCTAGAAGCGAACAAAACAGAACATGGCACTAGTTCATGAAGTCACCGGCAAGCGGGCTTGGCCATGTTAATAGGCATAGACTACCTGGTTGGAGTTCGCGTTATTATCGTAACCAGGGGTTAGAGACTTTGAATGATAAAGTTCAAATTCGTTTTCAATTGCTCATGTACGTCCATTCTTTGTCTTCCCCCAAATCCCTTGATACTAAATCCCTCATAACTCTTTTTGTTCATATTTCACTGATATGTATTTTCTTTTTGGATCGTATCTTCCATCTGTAATTTTTCCTGTTGCCACTTATACTGTTACTACCTCTACTATTCTGGGGTTTGGCCCAACAATTTCATCCGTTTGTACTAGAGGGTTATGGCATCTTGAACTAATATACATACGTACAGGTTCTACTTTGTGACTGACTGACATTTTATCGTGAAGAGAGCGCGAATAAATATTTGAGCAGATCAACATTTTATTTCATTGGTTCGCATCACGTGCTTACGACTTATAATATTTAAAAATCATAGTTCTAAAATGGGTTGAAATTGCTGACAAATCAGTTTAATTGAAAGTGGCTATGAACACACGTCAGTATAGTATAGTAAAAATATGAATGAACGTGATAAACTAAAAAAAGTAATGTGAATATATACCTTATGTTGAATATTTTTGAATTTATTTAATTACTCAAACACAAAGATTGATACAAAGGGGCACCAAAATATATATACGCCACAATAAAAATGAGATAATGAAGAGGTAGAGAAAAGGGTATGATAAAAAAAGAGGAATTAGTATATAAGAGTGATAAAACAGTGATATTAATAGGAAAGGTAGTTCGATTAAGAAAAACACAACCAGCAAGCATTGTTTTGGTTAAAGTTTTCTCTATTCTGAGTCATGTCTGACAACTCCTCAAGTCACTGTAGTGCACTACTTCTTGGACCCCAAACAAAGTCTCGAAGGACCAACAGGTGCCAGTTTTGTACAACTCTCTTCCGTACCACGACACCATGTTATGCACTGACCACCTCCGCTTTTTCCAACCAGTCTGAGCATCAACGAATAATGCACGATGTGGAACTCTCCGGGACGAAATTCGTAGTACATGTCTAAGCCACCGATGTTTGTATTTAAAGGTGGTGACGCCAGTTGAATTATCGTCACTGTCCATGAACATACGTTCCCTAACCCTTGCATTGCTAACCTGGTATTGCCACTGAACGTCAACAACGATGACCAAGCATAGAGAGGTGCTTAACATCATCTCAGAGAGGCCAAGTTTCACAAGCATGGAGCAAAACTGCTCTCGTCGACGCATTATAGATCCGGTTATTTGCAGTCAGACTAACATCGCAAAGGCTCCAAAGATGACCCAGATTGGTATAAGCCACTCTGACTTTCACTTTACGTAAATTGGTCTCATCATTCATTTCATCACCAGCACTTATGCAGCTACTCAGATACACGAACTTCTCAACGACTTCTAACAATCACTTCCGGGAGTGAGTGCAAACACATGGTCCTTCCAGTCTTCTAAAAGTGCCTTGCGTTTAAAGTGTGCAGCTCACTTGCTATACCTACTCACAATGTCAACTGATTAAGTGAGGATTGCACAGTAAGACAATATCATCCACATACTCAAGGTCGAAATGTCTTTCTCCAGATAACAGATCCATACAACCATTACCTACATCCATCAGAGCTGTTTCCAGAACGTCATCGATGGTAAAGTTGGGGAGTGTGAGACTAGGCAAACCTGCTTAACCACACTGCTCGAATGGGACAGTTGAGAGAGATAGTCGTATGCCCTTACCCTGTCTGAGGTGTTTGTATATAGAGTCTTCAGGATGTTGATAAACTCCCCGTGCACACACTTGTTCAAAAGACAATCCCATCCAGAGGATTGAAAGCAGGCTAGATGTCGAGAAACAAAGACTGTTGGTATACAATAAGTATGGTGAAGTTCTAACATTTTTGGTGGGGACTTAATATTTGATCAATATATCCTCAACCAGGATAAAAACTATCTTACTCTTTGAACTAACTAGCGACCAAAATTACTTTGAAATTTACAATGAGCTAGTAACACAAAAATTTCACAAGGCACAGATTGATAAGTTTTTGTTCTCACAATCAACTTCAGTTATGGTCAAATGAGTAGCTATACTGTATAAAAATGTATGACCGAAATTACTATACCGCTGTACGTAGTTATATTATCCACTTCTAATCTTTTTTTACATGTGATGTTGTACTCTTATTGCCTAATTGCTTTTGTTTTTTCCCAAATTATAGTTAATTGATTTAATAAGTCGACCAACATTGAAAATCACTTCTGCTCATGGTGTAGAGTTGAATCGTCCGCTTGTTTGGTATTCACGTTTCAACTCCTGTTGTAGTAATAAAGTACTCACTACACCCAAAGTAACTTTCGCTTGTAAAAATATGTGGAAAACTAATCTTTCCGTATATGATACAGTTTTACTGTTTGGTGTAGATTCAATGGTGAGTAAATTTAATGATGTGTTGCTGATAAATGCATTCAATTTAGATTGTTATTGGCAATAAAACCATTTAGAATATCATTGACACAAACTGCTTCTGTTTTGGCGCCCGTGCAGTTTCCCTGCCATCACACAAATCAAATTATTTGTGTGGCGCATATATATTTGGTGCTTTCTTGTATAAATGTTTGTGTGTTTAAATAAATAATAAGTAGATATACAAAAATGGCTATGGAATTAAGAGAAAGAATCGGTTTTGATTTTGCTATTTATTCCTTTTCCCCCCACTACATTTAGAATTATTAATAGGTGTTTACTCATTTAGTGCAGATGTGTATGTTGTGGTCGTTTTCATGAAATAATCTATATGTACATCATGGTTTATAAAAGACTCAAAAACCCCACTAATTATGTGCAAAATAGGTATAAACTTATTTCCATGTTACTACCAAACCTAGAATCGTCGGGCTACAGCTGGTATTATAGGCTTTATTTTATGCAAACTATTATCTTTAAGCGATATGTTTTACCCCCATCATACACCATTCTGCTCTCAATACAAGCTACAATGCTTTAAGAGAGTTCGTCATTGCACTCAAGTCGTTACTACATAAATGTAGAGAAATAATTTCATATTGGTGGGTTTTTCAAAATACTTATAGTTTTGTAATAGTGACAATGTCTGTGTTAAGTATTATTTATTTATTACAATACGAAACTTTCAGTATAATTAGAACGGTCACTTAGCCAAATGATTGTTTATATTTTTCTATTATGAGTTAGTGTATGATAGTTGTCTTATTCATAATACTATTCCGGATCTTGGAAACGTTAAATATTCCCAAAACAATTACGTTTCTACGATTATTTAAATTTACAGATGGGATCTATCGAACAGAAACTTAACAAAGAATTAAAAAATGGTTCAATCGTCATTACAGCCAGATATCCACTGCCTAATATCCAAGCATCCAAATCCATTATTGATGGACCCCACTCAGTATATTTGTACAAAATGTAGTTATTACTAATATGACTTTGTAATTACTTTCTGTATATTTATTCAACCATTCCTTTGTTTAACAAATCACAAAATGTCTTCAACTTATTTTATCACATCAATTAGCTAATTATTTTAAAATAATATCTACCTAAAAGTTTAGTGCTCCAACATGTAGAGCGTGATATCCTTCTACTATTGGTTGATACCCGTTTCCTTTTCTTAAAGGTTTGACCATTGATAGTAATCGAGGTAATGATCGATAGTCTTCTGGAATTTTAACAAGACTGATGGTCCATATCTATTGTACTCAATTTGGTTATTCCGTGTCATGAATTCTAATTTTCAAAACTATACCCTCACTTTGTTTGATCAACTATCCTTAAATGTATTTATTCGTATGTGCTCATCATATCATCGTAGAGTTTCATGATAGTATGACACTGCCTAAATAACAGTGCGTAAAATGCTTAAATATCCTTATATAAATTTAGGTTTTTCACGAATCTGACATGGAAATTGAACTGGTCAACATGTTTATTAATTGGCTTTCAAGTCGTAATATTGAGAAAATCTTTAACGAATGAATATGTATTGTGTTGTTTCTGAACCGAGTTGAGATTACTAGGAGTAATACATAGATTTTAACCATACTCTTGAGTTGATAAACGATATGTTCCCGTCATTTTTCATGTTATAGTGACACTTTGATTAATTCATAAAGTTCACTTTTATTCATTAGTTATCTAACAAATTGTTCTAGAAACTGTATAGCTCTGTCGACTAAAAGTTTATCACACAAGGGCCATAGTAGAATCTAGTGGATCACGTGTTGCAGTCTTGTATTACATTTTATATCTATCATTAAATGGCCGGAATCTTCGTTAGTTGTGTTCTTACTTGAAATTTTCCTTCTAATGCTTCATATTCTTCGTTTTCTAGTTCCTAACAATACTATTCCATTTAGAACAGTATTTACATTTATCATTAGTAGTTACATTCGTCCCTTGCAAAATTCAACAAACATTTGACTACCAGTTTAATCAAATAATCACCATTCTTTGCGGGAGTCACTTAGCTATCGATTAGGCGGTCGGACAATAGTGATTGTCTGTTTACAGTTAAAGGACCTGAAAAGCCGAGCATCATCTAATTCGGTTTGGATAAACAAGAAGTTTCATTAAACCTCAGTTAAAAACGTCTGTCTCAGTGGCAGGGATATACCTTTTCACCTGATAACGAATATATGAAGTCAGATGAGTTACATTCTCTTAGGAGAGAAAGGATCAGTCGTTCGAAGTGTGGACGTTCATTGATTACTGTACGTCAATTACCTGGGCGGAGTTATAAAAATATGCCACCTAAACTTTCTGAAATGACCGGAATCAGTGATTATGACACTTATGAGAAGATTATCGTTTTTGATAACGGGCTTACGTCACTCTGAGAAGCTAAGAATCAAGGACTGCTCTTAGCTACCTCAGAACTACTCAGCAGTCCGTACACATAACCCTGATAGCAACTAACTCAAAACCCCCAGGTTATACATCCGATTCGTTACTTTCAAACGAACTTGATCAAAAGTCTATTTAAACACGTCACCACAATGTGTTTGAATAGTACTTGAATTTGTCGTTAAGTGAAACTCACATATGTTTGCTTCTGGAAATCACTTAAATGGATCAAAACACTTGACTAACACGAGTTGGCTTTTATTAGCCATCCCGACGATATTGCATTTGCAATGAGCACTACAGAAAAGATAGAGTTTGTTCCACTCAAGATACTTCTGTGAATTCGCAATAGTACCGTTGATGGAAAACCAAAACAGGTGTTAAGCAAATCAAAATACCGAAATCGGCGTTATTAAAATGTTTAATGACTAATCTTTTTGGTGTGTTCTCCAACGGTGTATGTAATGAATCCATAAAAGTATTGTTCCTATGTGAATTATGGTCACATATATCCATCCTGTGGTGAGTAGATAATCCTGTCTCGTAGGCCAGTTTGCTGACTGTGATTGATCAATTACTGTTGACTCACTCAAATGTAGTTGTGGTGCATCCTCAAAACCGGTTGTAATCCAATCATCGGCTTCAACTATTATAAATTGTTGATTTACTCCATATTCACTTGTTGGCATAACATATTGTTGACTATATAAATCACATAATTTTAATGCGTTTATTAGATTCTCACGTTTTGTTTGTGATACGTTGATCTCTGATTTTGAATGAAGCTGGAAAATAAATAAGAATAATTGTGAAAATGTATAACTATTGATCTAATTTTCAGTATTTATTGTGAGTTCAGTAGGAGTGTCGAGTTGATCACTGGGTTGATGAGTTCAGTTTGTGGTTGTTCGACTTTGTGCAACACCGAATCCACTTGATGTAGGAGAGTTGTGAACATTCCTTGACTGATTATGAAGTTATCATTAGGTTATATCAACTGAGTAGGATATAAGACGAAGTTGTAATTACAGTGAAACATATGTGTTGTTTTATAACAATCAATACAATAATATGTAACCTAATTATGTAGAATTGTAAGCCAATCAAAATTAACCCTAATTGCAAAGATGAACTTCTTGTGAAATATTATATATGTACATAAGTAATACTAACTCACTACACTCAGATCACATCCAATATGTGTTATCCTTTTTGTTTCCCCTATACATTTTTGGCCGATTGCATGAGTTATACAAGTACGTACTTGTTGACGATATGGTTTTTTGTGGCATATTTCAGTTAAGTCAGGCCATAAACAATTAGACCATGCTGACCATACACTCCATGTAGCTGGTGATGGTTCAATCTCACAATGATCACCTGTGTAACCATGGCTACAAATACATTTATACAAAGTTGGATTATTAGTATCTTGGATACACTGACCAGAATTCCTACATGGTTGCCTTCTCGTTTTAAATTCGCTTGTTATATTGAATTCACCACAAATTGGTATGGGTATACACCTGGGCTCACTTTCAGTCTGATGTCGATGTGTTGTAGGACATTGACAACTAATATGTTCATAAAAAGAGAAGGAATTAAGTAACATTTATAATTAGATCGCAATTAATTATGGTTAGTCTGACACGGTAAACATTGTATCATGTCTTCCTTTTATCTGAGATCCAGTGTACAATTTAAGTGGTATGAAAACCCATTGAACTATCAAAGCTCAATTTGTGTCTTCAATCACTGACCTTAAAGAGACTTTATGAATGGTGACTTTTATTAATCGATAGAAAAATGGATTTGACTAGCTGGTTCTGTCTTTATGAATAATAATATCCAACAGTTTATCTCAGCAGTAAGTGTATTTTTCTACGTAGAATAGATGCCATTTGGGTGATTCCTGACGAAGTCAAACATACCAGTGTGCCTTTATTAGAGACATGGTCACAGATAGTTGAGATCGCTTCCGAGAATGACACGGATATCAGTCGAGGATAATTGTGAAAACAGACAAATCTTTAGAGGGTTAAATATTGAACAATTAGATGCTTTTCAGATGTCGAGTTATATTAAACAATATGGCTGGTCAATTGAGCCCAACCGACTGTAGTCCTGAATATCAGTGAGGAGATTCAAACAATCATTACCACTATGTTAAGTTATAGGGATTTGGATTTGATAGTGAAGATAGATTTCTTTTAAGTTAAAAGTGAAGATTCACATGTAAGTAAGGTATTTGCAATGAACTCTACATAACTAGCGACCTGTAGTTTATTCTGAACTAAACAGGACAGTTCCTGAAAGAAATTTTAGCAATATTTAGGAACAGCATACTGAAAACGATAGATAAATGTAGTTCATATATAGAAAGTTAACAGTTTTTCGGATGTTGGCTACTGATTAAAGATTGGATTTTGAGTTACTGGACTGCAGGTTTTCACTCCGATCCCACCATCTTCGGTTTTGAGTATCTAAAGAGCATGAAGAATGTGGGGGAGGAAGCCGAGAAAACTAACGTGTTCTTGATAGTTAACTTCCGTTAATTTGGCAGTGCTTGTTATTGAACCTAAATATATTTAGTGTCTGTTTTATAGGTTACTGTTACTGATAGGTATAAACTGAAAGTCATATGACAACTGAGGTTGTTTTATTCTGTCGTGATGCCTTTCTGCTCTTTGATTACGAGATTATATCTCCAAATTTTCATATTGTTTTCTTTGTTACTTTACACTTTAACCACTTAAACTTAATTATGTTCGGAATCATCATTCCACCAACTTGTTCCCGTATCATGAAAACCATCACTTCCAATGACCACAGTTATTCAACTAGATTGTTCAGGTAGTATTGATTTCAGTAGTATATAGACAACTAGTCACAAACAAAGTCATTGTAACTGACTGGTCTAGTGCTTTTGGAATAGTTTTAAAAACTAAATTAATAATTGAGACTGGTGATCCTGACTTTGTTGAGAATGAAAGCGTAAAGCCACTTAAACCGTTCTGCTCAGAGGATAAAGCACTATTCATCGCTAGATTGAAACATATCACTTAAGTAACCTAATCATTCATTTCGCAAGTTAGCTTACATTCTCTTACAAAAATCTCAAGTTGGCGAACAATGACCTCTTAGTTTGTTTTTATAACATAGCCATTCGCTCCCTTCTTAATCTGGAATTATTCCACCATTTTTTCACGATCTAATTTGAGATATTAATATGCCGTCTTAAAATGAGTTATTACCGAAACTGGACATAAAATACTTACCGGAAACCATACTCTAAATTTCGTGGATCTCGCACACAAGAAAATGGAACACAGCTAACTTCATCTTCGCATGGATTTCTTTCATACTCGCACTGAGCACCTTTAAAAGCAGGTGGACATTGACAAAATAAGCCTGACTCCAGGTGATCAATCTCCAGATTTTGTACACATGTACCCCCATTCGCACAGTAACTATCACTGTAACAACTATGTTGTCTTCTTACATTCGAACATGTGTCTGAATTTCTGTCATACTAAGAAACATTTTAAAAATATGATGTTGAAATTTTGATACCATAAATGATTCTGTTGAGTGAAAATGCAGATAATCACCCTACCAGTATTAGTTCAATCCAATCAATCTGCATAGGGATGAGGTAATGTGACCAGATAAGTAAGTGGAAAAAGTATGTTTAGTGAGCTGACTTAGTGTGGTGTTTGTACAAACTAATGAATCTTTTGCACTTGGTTGCCCTCTGATTTCGAATTCCAAATACAATACGTTCAATTGTGCTCATCTAGTTCTACTTACAGTAAAGTGCACAATTCCAGGAATTCCTAGGTAGTACTATAATTCGAATAATCATAATCATCAAACATAGTCAGTATTAAGATAGGCGATTCTGCTGCCTCGATCATTTGACGAGAACTGATTAAGAAAACAAGAAATGTAAAAATGTACTATCCCAGTTCCCATTCGACCAAGTCACCATGTATTAAGAATAGAACCCAAGCGGGTGTATTCTCTATTCGATAACAAGTCACTTCATATCTCAATACTGATTCATTATGACTGGTAGTGGAACTTGACAGCTGAATACATGTGTTGTGGTTTCCACTGAATACGCAACTGCAAACCGATTGAGCTAAAGAACAGAAGTCTGTCTTATAGTAAAAATGTGAGAATTACTCCTTGTTTAGATGTCAACAATACTTACTGAATGCGATCATATTTCTTTTGTTAGTTGTTGACCTAACGTGATTGGTCACTGTTGATATACTCGACGAGAACAATGCGATTCATGACTTCACTCAATCATTCTTACAAGGAATCCAAGAACGAATGGATATTAATAGTGCTACTTTCGTATTTGCATGTAGTCAGTAGAGTAATTTTTGCCCAGATTCCCTCTTTCTATGTTTATTTATCGGTAAGCTAAAAGTGCTTGTTTGCTGTCGAACGGAGTAGACTGTTGACATTTGATCAGCTTGAAGATGGTTTTCACCACGAGTTGATACCTGTTGGCTACTTGCCAAGAGCCAGAAAAACTGTCTGATCGTTTCGTCTTAATTAGAGGTCTAGGGACTAACATGGAATCAAATCCAAGACAATAAGTTCTTGAAGCAAATACCTGGTCGAACAACAAACACACACTGATTAGTGAACAGCATCAAGATGGATCGAAATAGTTGAGAGTGACAATTGTCTCATGGAATTCCATCTGTGACTAGTCGGTATTATACTAAATGTGATATCTGAAAATTTCTCATTTGACTCAGTATTACCTGATGGGTGCTCGGATCGAGAAAAGTAGTTGCCATAGTCATAGAGTTCATCGTTTGTGTGTGGGCTGTGATACTGCCCGGGTGCCCAAACCGAAGCAGGTGGTTATCTTAGGGGGCCACACCCCGAGCCTTTGACCTAATGGTCTAACCCACAAGGCAGTGGAACATCGTGAGGAGATGCAATCCCATGGTAGCCGGTGACCAACGATTGGTTCATACGCCATTTGTTCCCGCAGGATACTGGAGCCCATGTGCACCATTGGTTTGTGATCTGGTGAAAGCGCCGGAAGTTCGCTCATCGCTTGGTTGTCACAAGCTCAGATGTAATATCTAGTTGATTCTTCTTGATTTTTCTGTATCCTTCAACTGATGTCAGTCTGTAACAAAAACCATCTCAAATATTCATTTACGTTTCTAGATCACTACAACTAACGAGTTAATCTTTGCATGACAGTCAGCCAGTTTATCCATATATCTGTCTATAAATTGATGTGATAGATGCGCATAAATCAAGTTTTTCTATTGGTCGATAAAACAGCTCTGTTGAAATGGAATTTGTAATTTAAGCTAAAGATGAGCATCGATGAAGAACTTTCAACACAAACAACTCGGTTATTCAGTATCATCTACACATCAAACTGATTATTTCAAGGATAAACTTCATACTACTTACTATATATTTAGCTTCACAAGGACAATAAGCTATCAATGCACTTTGTCGTTGAATTTCAATGACTTTGAGAAACAATTTTTTATTATTATTAAAATGCAGGAAAAATTCCATCGGTAGACGTCTCTCAACAGGTACATGTAATAACCAATTTTCCAAAATCCTTTTTAATTCTTTTACTTTTTTCTCTTCTGTATAGTGGATTTTCGCATCACGTAATAACTCATTCATGTAAGTACCACAGAAACCAACAGTGTATGGTTTGTTTTTGCAAAATTTATCCGTTTTACTACGACAAACATCTGGGCAATTTAAATGTGGATCAATCTCACGAATGCATAAACCCAATCTGCAGAGAGGAAGGAACAAATCAATTAGTAACATGATAAAGCTTTTCAGTGGTTTATTGATGAACGGATAGTTTTAAGGAGAAGACGAAATCTCTTCTCAAAGATGAATAAATATATGAAAAAAGAATTATTGGTTATACTGGGTCAATATTATTATGTTGTTTCATAGACGTTGAAACTGTCGATTTGATCTCGTGGGAAGATATTTACTCACCGTAATGACTAACCTAAAACAGCATGGAATAGATATTCAGTTCAGCGTGGTTTTTGTATTCTTAAATTTGATGCCTAGTCGTGATCTTAATTATATAATACGTTTATTAGGCTATAAATGTTTTCAAGATTTAAAGTTGCTGAACATGTTATAATGATAATAACCCATCTATTTGATTGATCGGTTTATTTTACTGTATTCAGTAATTTCACAATCGAAAAGAAGATAACGGAGTACAATTTTATTCAGTCATTATATATGAATATGTCCTTTTACTATTTCCGCTACAGGTTCTGACGAAGGAAATGAATTTTAGAAATGTTTATTGATATAAATATATTCCAATGAATGAGGACATGTATGATTCACCATATATTACAAAACTATGTATGAAATCCCCAATAAGTTCAAAACTAATGATTTATCGCATTGTTTAATGTAATCAAATTTTTTAAAATACGAATTGAAATCTTTGAAAAAATCCTTTTCAAAATAGTACACAACCCAATTTTGCATATTAACAGTAATCATGTTCACTTATATTTGCTCCAGTTATATGTTTTGATAATTATATCAACTATAAAGTATAACCATGACGGATAAGGAGAAATATTTCTTGACAAGAAATCACTACATTCTACCCCATATAAAGGTAGATTTTTCCTAGTTAACATGAGAAATGCGAAATACGTGGTTTCTGGGCAATAGTGCAATGTCATAAATTTAATTAAAAATATGCTGATCCATAAATAAGAACTTTCATCTAAATTTGATCGAATAGTTTCACAGTATTTGGGCACCGAGTTGATGTGAGACATTAAACAGGAAGAATGTATTCGTAAGATCTTAGCGAATGAATTTGACGTATATCCAACGTTTCGCCTGGTAATCTGGTCCAACAATAATTTTGATGTCTGGTTATATTTCCTTGAAAAAACTTGAATCAGATTGCCAGGCGAAACGTTGGATTTACTTCAAATTCATTCTGAAATTTTACAAATACATTCTTTCTCTCTAAGACGCTGATTTATTTACTCTTTATCTCCACTACAATACTTTCTTCAATTTACATTGTTTTTGCTCGTAACATATCAATTTATTTCTTATTTTCCTTGTCTGTTTTAGTATTCTTCCGCCATTATGCTGTTAACAATTTCGAAAGTAATGAATACTGGTGGCAACCTTGTTATTTTTGGCAGATTTAACTAGCTTACTGAGTATTATCATTGTTTAGTCCAGCACCGCCCATATGAGACAATCCGTTAAGTATATAGACAGTGTACCAGTATCCCAATCATTTACCACTGCAAGCAATCACTTATATTATTTCTTCCTACTACTATAATATTGTCTCTTTATATTCATCGGTTGAGTTGAGACTCGTTATCCTAGTAAAATGTTTGTCGTATACTGACATCAATGTCATCAGTTTCTTATACGTAAAATCATCTTCGTTACTTGTATTGCTTTTTTTATTCTATGATGCCTTTTTGGTGGTTGATTTAATTGGTTACACCTTTGTAAAACATTTTAACTACTGGATGAAAGTTGTAAAGATTCAGTTGAAAGCATTAGGAATAAACAAATGAATTGAAATTTGATTTTTACCTATAAATAATATCCAGTATAGCTCTAAATGTTTTTGTATTTCTGGATAATGCTCTATTGTATACTTCTTTGACCCATTTTAAATTATTCATTAATTCACAATTAATCCGCATTACAACTGGATTACCAAGATTTTTTCCTGATGTATGTATTACTAGATCAAGCATATTTAAATAATCTTTTGATTTTAATATGCTATTCGGTGGTATGACAATGTCTAAATTTCTATCTTCTATAAATCTTCCAGACATTAATGTATCATAATAAACTTCCGTCGCTTCTTCAATGAACTGAACACGTTGTCCTTTTAACATTGGTGTACCACTACATTTCCATGTTAAGGATGCAGGCCATGCTTCTTGATAAATAAAATATAATGGACTAGAATTACAGTATGATGTATACAATGACGTGTATATAACAAGTAATATAGAGAAATACATGTAAAGGGAAACCATTACAATGGTTTTAGTTTGTTGAAAATTATCAACGTTATCATCAAAAATAATTTTCTAATCATTAACTAGCTAAATATAAATTTAAAATGTGTTATCGATAACCCAATCAATAATTTATTACCAAGATGATTTACTTCATTAGATAATATAAAAAACCACACTGCACTAAATGTCTATTCATGGTATTTGTATGAACTAATGATTCCTTTGTACTTGATGACTGCCTGACTTCGAATTCAAAATACAATACGTTCGTTCGTGCTCATCTAATACTTCTTGGTTAGATTATGTTATTTCTAGGATTCCTAGTTTGCACTATAATTTAAATTATCACATTGGCGTCGCGATGGAGCCTGTGATGGAACGTTTAGACATGCATTCAGATTTTGAGGATTACATGGAAGGTTTCAAAATCTGGGCTTTTGCCAATGGATATCTTGAGAATGTTAATATTATGGCTCACTTCCTTACATTCATCGGGAAAAAGGTATACAGCTTATCAAACCTCTGGCTTTATCAGAAAAGCTTATTTCGTTTCCTTATGCAACTCGCAAGCAACTGCTACGAGACCAAGTAGTGCACAAATTTCGAATGCCGTAAACGAAGGAAATTTTATAAAATGATTTGTTGGGACATCCGGATCCCATTACTTTACTACGTCGTCCTCGTCTAATGCATAATCAAGGCTATTTAGATAACAATTCATTGAGTAGTTGAGAAGCAGGTCACGGAGATGAGCACACGTTTGATAAATGTTTGATCTGTGGGAAGTTTCACTCATGTATATTTCGTAATCCTAAAAGCTTTAAATGTGGTATGATTTGACACATGTAGGCAGTCTGTAATATTACCATTCATTTAGCCGCAAGCAACTTTAAATTTGGTCTTATTAAGTTGGGTGTTTCTAATGATCATTTATCTTTATCCACGACTTCGAAAAGCAGTATATGGTCATATAGCAGTCCAGAATCATTGTTAGGCAAAAGCTACTAGTCAATAAACTTCTTACCGGATTCTCCATGTCATTGTACCAGATATCATTTGTCCTAACGGTTCACATATTTCTGATGTAATTTCCTATAAATCTGAGGGGGATATGTTGAATAAATCAAATCATGATCGAAACTCCGATAGAGGCTTATTTTTCTAATGATCTATTATTCTTCAATGACATTCTTAATAAATTTGATGAAAATACTTTAGAGAAATCAGATCCTGATGTCATATCAAATTTTATTTGCTCTCATAATGCATTTGTTTCTTGTGCGGAACTTGTTCAATGCGAAGCACAAGTCTCAAATGAGATCGATTTCGATTCGGATGATTTTATATCAACTGTTGTTTATCCATATTATGAGGTCACTTCAAATGAGTTCTATAACCAATTTGAGAAAAATGTTTTAAATTAGCCCAGATCATTTATCGCTTGTGGATATGAGGATCTAATATTATATCGTGGGGGAGGATGGTGTTGAAAAACCTATGGTTCAAATTCCAGATATCAGTGATTTTAGTACACAACCGACATGTTGATCATAGACCATTCCAAGAGCCTGGTGAGTCCGTTCCGACTTTAGTTGTTCATTCTAATACTAATGAGTATATTGTAGATCATAGAGTCTACATCCAATACACAGTCAGACAGACACACGATGAAGTTAAGAGACAAAATCGACGGCAGAAATTTTGATTCTCATCTAAGCTATGGTGAATGTGGCGTTTGTATGAACTAATGATTCCTTTCGAATTCCAAGTATAAGATGTTCTTTCGTGCTTGTCTAATACATCTTGGTTAAATTGCGTTATTCCTGGGATTCCTAGTTTGTACGATAATTCAAATACTTCAAACTATCACAATATTCCATGCTGTTTGATGTTAGTTAGTACAGTAAGTAAATATCTTCGAACGAGATCAAATCGACAGTTTCAACGTCTATGAAACAACATAATAATATTGACCCAGTATAACCAATAATTCTCTTTTCATATATTTATTCATCTTTGAGAAGAGATTTCGTCTTCTTCTCTTCAAAACTATCCGTTCATTAATAAAGCACTGAAAAGCTTTATCATGTTACTAATTGATTTGTTCCTTCCTCTCTGCAGATTGGGTTAATGTTTTCGTGAGATCGATCCGTATTTAAATTGTGCATCTTGAGCTTAAATTACAAATTCCATTTCAACAGAGCTGTTTTATCGACCAATAGAAAAACTTGATTTATGCGCATCTATCACGTCAATTTATAGACAGATATATGAATAAACTGGCTGACTGTCATGCAAAGATTAACTCGTTAGTTGTAGTGATCTAGAAACGTAAACGAATATTTGAGATGGTTTTTGTTACAGACTGACATCAGTTGAAGGATACAGAAAAATCAAGAAGAATCAACTAGATATTACATCTGAGCTTGTGACAACCAAGCGATGAGCACCCATCAGGTAATACTGAGTCAAATAAGAAATTTTCGGATATCACATTTAGTATAATACCAACTAGTCACAGATGGAATTCCATGAGACAATTGTCACTCTCAACTATTTCGATCCATCTTGATGCTGTTCACTAATCAGTGTGTGTTTGTTGTTCGATCAGGTGTTTGCTTCAAGAACTTATTGTCTTGGATTTGATTCCATGTTAGTCCCTAGACCTCTAATTAAGACGAAACGATTAGACAGTTTTTCTGGCTCTTGGCAAGTAGCCAACAGGTATCAACTCGTGGTGAAAACCATCTTCAAGCTGATCAAATGTCAACAGTCTACTCCATTCAACAGGAAACAAGCACTTTTAGCTTACCGATAAATAAACATAGAAAGAGGGAATCTGGGCAAAAATTATTCTACTGACTACATGCAAATACGAAAGTAGCACTATTAATATCCATTCGTTCTTGGATTCCTTGTAAGAATGATTGAGTGAAGTCATGAATCGCATTGTTCTCGTTGAGTATATCAACAGTGACCAATCACGTTAGGTCAACAACTAACAAAGGAAATATGATCACATTCAGTAACTTTTGACATACATGTGACTATGCTACACATTGGACCAATACATTTTTGGATTCATTACAGAAACCGTTGGAGAACACAACAAAAAGATTAGTCATTAGACATTTTAATAACGCCGATTTCGGTATTTTGATTTGCTTAACACCTATTTTGGTTTTCCATCAACGGTATTATTGCGAATTCACAGAAGTATCTAGAGTGGAACAAACTCTATCTTTTCTGAAGTAGTGCTCATTGCAAATGCAATATCGTCGGGATGACTAATAAAAGCCAACTCGTGTTTCGATTCATTTTAGTGACCTATAGAAGCAAACATATGAGTTTCACCTAACGACAAATTCAAGTACTATTCAAACACATTGTGGTGACGTGTTTAAATAGACTTTTGATCAAGTTCGTTTGAAAGTAACGAATTGGATGTATAACCTGGGGGTTTTGAGTTAGTTGCTATCAGGGTTATGTGTACGGACTGCTGAGTAGTTTTGAGGTAGCTTACAGCAGTCCTTGATTCTTAGCTTCTCAGATTGACGTAAGCCCGTAATCAGAAATGTCATTCGTGAGAGTCAACCACTAATTTATGAGTTTTGTAGTCATTTACTTAGACCATTTCAAAATTATTGAGTAGCTTGTTTACAAAACGCATCTCAAGTAGGTAGCTTCATGTGGCAGTGTTGTATTTCGATCTGACGACTCTCTTTTGAACGCTGAATTGGTTAGACAACGGTTTAAAATGTACTTTGAGTGACTCAGTCAAACTAGTGGAGAAACACTTACAATACAATAGACTAATTATCTTCTTTTCATAGTGTGACAATTATGAAGTGGGAGAATTTACTGGCGTGAGTCGCCTAGACTCAACTACACTGGCCAATAAAATTCATTAGCCGATCGGAATTATTCGAATACCTAAGTGTCAGTCGAATTCAGTCTGTGGTGTGTAGTACTGATGTCGACAGATATAAGTAGTTTAAGTCATCAGTTCAAAGTGAAATGCCTGGCAGCAGAAGGCTAAGATTGAAGAGGAAAGAACGAGAACAGAGAGTACTTGGTGTGGAAACGAAGGGACAGTGAAATCCGAGGTAATTGATCAACATTTTGCAAATGAAGCATTTGCCGTATGGTTCTCAGATTTTACTAAGACGTTCTGTAATTTTGTATTCAAACATATTTGGTTGTCCTCGCTTGCATTCTCGTTCACTAAATTACTACAAGCATCATTGTGTTTCAACACCTTTAAAGCAACTCATAGTGAGACAAGTTTTATATCACGTTATGCTATTCACCAAGCATTCAACAGAAACTTTAATTCCCAATACAAGAACAACTAGTTTTTTGATCACTTTTGCCAGTTTTTAAAGTCAAGTATGGTGACTTTAATTAGACTGGGGTTGAAACTAACAATATTCAAAAATCAAAAACATAGAGTAATAACAACAAATACATATTATTCAAACAAAATAACTGCAGTAAGTAGGAATGCATTAATAAAGCGCGGTGCTATACACGTTATGTACATGAAGAAATAATGATGTTCCACAATTTTACAAAACAAAGATGGAAAAGTATCTCGTAGGATAAGTTTCACTATTTAACTACTTCAATGGTGTACTTAATGCCTCCTCAAATTTACTTAGAGTTCGTTTCAAACCTTCTCTAAGGTAAAGAGAGAAAGACAAAATAACATTTTACACAAATAGGATATTTGCCAAAACATTTCATATTTGGTTATAGTATCTGCAAAGGATATTTGGACTGGCAAGTTTTTGGATTAGAAAATAATTTGCTTTGAAGTTAGTAGGTCTCTTGTAAAATTCAGCAAGCTGTCTGATGAAAAATCCAATTTAATTCATTTTCGTACTAATGAATGAATGAATGAGAACCACGGTCATCGATATCACCTGATAAGACTCACCAATAAGAATCATTCAACACTCTTTTCCCCTGCAAATACTGTTTAGCACTTTTTCCGTAACTCGAATACTTAATTAGATTAATTTGTGTTGGACGGATGTGATTCTATGTAAGTGAACATAGTGCAAGTTTTTTCTAAGTACATTTCTTTATGTTAAACCATCCTACCTTTTAGAAAAGAAAGCACATGTGGGACTAGTCGTTGGATGTGCATTATTAAATATTTCTTAGTGCAATGCTATCCGGTATTGGAAATGGTTGGAAGAAAGTTAGGGGCGGCCAAACCAAAACGTGGCATCAGTGCTTGAAGTCATTAACTTCTAGTCTGAGCCATGTTGGTAGATGCAGACTACTTGGTTGGGGTCCGCGTGACTATCGTAACCAATGGTTGGAGACTCTTGGTGACATGGCTCAGAATCGATCACAATGGCGTCGGTGTATACACTCCCTGTCTTCCCTTAAACTAAGAGATTAAAATCGCTTCATATCTTTCTTTCTACGAACCAATTCTTTCTTCTTGTATTATATCTCTATATGCAATCTTTCTCTTATATATTACCACCTTTTACCTAACCACTGTTATGAATCCGGTGTTCATCTTGTTGTGCTGATGCGGTATGGCAACCTGGACCGATGCACATATGTGCCTGGTCCTACGTTGTAGCTGACTGACTGACTGATTTCTTAGTCCTCGTATATTGACCGTGTAGATGAAGATGTTTGGTACATCACCGTTTTGCAGTTAAGCTAAAAATATATCGGTGGAAATGGGACCAAAGGGAGATCTCACTGCTACTTTATCTATTTGTCGATAACGTTTGTTTTTGTGCAGGAAGTGGGTACTCACTATCAATTTCAATAAAAGTCTCTTCACTTCATCTATTAGCGTAAGTGACACCGTTCTTTTCTACAAGTTGTTTGCAAATATATTCAGTTTTAGTCAGTAAAATATCAATAAATAAAGACATTATATCCAAAGATGACGTGGCTATTTTCGTTAGATTAATATTTCTCATTACATTTCCAGATCTAAATACTTCTTTTACATTGCGTTTTACTAACATTCGATGTAGTGGTCACGAGCCACTTTGCTGTTGAGTGGTACGGTGTGTTCAGAATCGGACGTAATTAAACTTATTGTTTTTACATTCTAAGTAGGCCGAAAAGGCGTGGAGTACGTGCTTCTGAATTTTTAAGTATGTCACAAGTAGAATGAGAAATAAATTGTTGTTGTTCTACAGATTCTAACGATGAAGTTGGTTGATGTTCCGTTTTTTCTGCCAGGCCTTTACGTAACCCTAGCTTATGACATTTAGTTTGATCATCAAACAGAAGACCAATTTGTCGAAAGAATCATTCCTATTTAAAATTGCGACACCTCTTTATGTTGTGTTTGCTGCTTCTAAATTGGTTACAGTAGTCAATTAATGTCATCTTAAATTCATCTATTTTAAGCTTAATTGAAGCTACCAAGTCTTGTGTCTGGATTAGTAGATTTTTGGAATAATCCTTTGAAAGCATTAATATTTTTGTTCGTTCTTGTTTGCTGTACTTCTGAAGCATAGGCCACAACTTGATCCTTAAGATTTCTAAGAACATTATCAATAGCATATAATCTAATTCAGTGACATGTACTCGAAGTATTTTGATTTCGTTCACAGCATATCTTTTGAGTGACTTGACATTATGCTCGATTTTATATCGATATGTGTACATATATGTGTAAAAAAACGTCCTGTTTAGGATAACGTTGGGTCAGTGTGAAATGAAAAATGAAATTCAAGGTGGTTTTCGCTTCTGTGAGGTTTGTACTATACTTTGGGCACTTAGTGAAGGGACTCAGTATAAATAAGTGCTCACAGAAATTTAGCAGTTTAATAATTCCCATAGGATATTTAAGAACAGAGTATTCCAGTCTCACCCGATTGAATCATCATAGTATATTCACTCTTTATACTACAGGCGAGTTAACAAATCATTATATCAAATAACATACAATGATGACTGAATAATCAGAGTGACGAGAGTTATTAGTGATATATGTACACATTTTTAAGGCAATCTGAAAAAAGATATAGGGAACAAAGAAGTGTAACTCACATTTCTTTTTTTAACGGTTCTAGCTGAGACATAGATTTGGATAATTCTTCGCACTTGGCCATCAAAACATAAGTGGACTAAGGGGGAAATAAAAGTTCTGAAAATATTCCAACAACAGTTAAGTATTTCAGGTACAAATAAAAATAAATAATACATCTTACGTTAATCAAAGTACACAAGGCTTTTCCTTAACTGGTTGATTGTTATAATGACAAGGGAATTCCTGTTTTCTAAAACTATTGAAACTTCCCACATCCTTGAACCTTATAGCTTTAGAATCCACCGTGGATTTGTGCTAAATTCATATTGAGATGGTGTTGTTAGTAAAATTATTGTTTACAAGCGGACCACAATGCATGAACTAGTGTACATCTACAGTTGTGATTAGTGGTCTCTAATCCGAACCAAGAGCATTAAGTAAGAGTATTGCGTAAAGTTGTCCAGTACTTATAAGAGCGTTAATCATAGCACTACACTAGGGTCATTTTTCATATTAAATTTTAGAAATGTTCCAGTCCACCGTTAGATACCTCAAAATCACACTTGTGAAAATAAAATTATAACCCATTTCTGGTCAAGCAAACTTTCAAAGGTAGGAAAAGCACAGTGGTTGAGTATGTTGATCATTCCACAGTATACTTATTTCATAAAACGGTTTCTGTCGAATCAGTAGAGTGAGTCACTGTTTAAACGTGAGAGCAGGCAATAAATGATAAAACGGAGCATTCACTGAAACATGTCAACGTTCATGCTGAAACTATGTTAAAAATGTCGTATACATATATATGTGTCCAAATAAATAAATAATGTACTCAACTAGATAACCGTTATTCAAGATTTCGACTTTATATGAATGAAGAGCCCTTAGTGAGGGTATTCATAGAAAACTAAACCAACCTTAAATGTGGTAGTACGGACACTGAGAAATTATGACTAGTAATGGCCGTACATTTTCAAACTACCGATATCAACTCGCCATTTATCAACAGACTAACCTTTATACATGCACCGATAGTTTCACAAGCGTAATCCACGGAATCTGAAAATACAGTTGTACAGTCTAAGGTAAGACTTGACATCTAAAACATAAAGAAAACAGTACGCCATTATGTTGGTTTCAACATGAAAGGAGCAAGAATGATAGAGAGGGAATTACAAGAAAAGGAGATATATATAAAGCAGTAGTGTCCTTATCGTTTGGACGAAGATAATACTTAGTAACTACAATCATGTAAAATGGGATACCAGTTTGAAATGGCCTTCGCTCATCACTGTTTAAATGGTCAAGTAATGTGAGAAGACCTTTCGGAAAAGATGCTGTCTATGGCATATGGGGAGCATTTACGTGATTAATGAGTCATATTTTTAGAAACCACGAATTACATTCAACCTTACCAATATTTTATAAGCTCAACAAGCTACTGTATAACAGACAACTTAGTTTATCAGTTCAAAGTTTGATTTTGTGGCACTCTTTGCATAGCCATGACCCATTTAGACGTTAAACAAATTTTGAAAATAGCATGTGAGATAAGTTGTTCTGGAAAATAAACTGCACGAGTTTTTCCAGATTTATTAGTGCTAAGGACACTCGAAATGATGATTTGTAGTTCAGGTAGAGTTTCGTTCTCGGGCCTGGTCGTAGAGCCTTCATTGTTCTCCTGAATAATATCACCGGCACAAAATTCACTTCTACCTAAAGTGCAGTCATATTTAAATGTTAAACAAGTGGAGTTTGTTTATGGTATGTCAATATGAAATAAAATATTTAATCCAAATGAAAATGGCGCACTTGATACTTCCCTGACGAACCGCCCATGAAGGTGGATGCCGAATACCCACTTGGACAAAAGTCAGACATCTACATCCGACTAATCAGTATTCCCGGGGTAAATTATGATATATTACATAGTTTTGAGATGACATTTAAAAACACTTTGAGTTTACTGATTTGTTAACTGAGTATGCAGCGACATTAAAAATACGGCACTAACGAAACTGTGTGAACTAGTTTACAATCAACAGGGAATAAGATCCCAGTTATTGACTCTACAACAAGAGGGAACGTAACGAGCCAGGCACAATAAGAAATGAGGCTAAAGGTCTTAAAACTCTGTTTTTCGTATAGTTCGCCCTGTGATATTGTCAATTGGTCATCTGAATCATAAATATCTATCGGTGAATGAATGTATTCGCATTTGTACTCAAAGAGTGGCTTGCAGAAGATGGAAAGTAACACTTAGCATTATAATGTTAAACGTTACAGTATATTGTAAATAAATAAAAAAGTAACTTAATTCCCCAGTTACCCAAGCAAAAATGGGGGAGGGGAATAAAGGGGAGCTTTGGAGGAATTCCGCTAAGGAAGTTGGTGTGAATACAGACGACAATGCATCATAATTCCGCCATTTTTCCCAGCCCGAGTAATTGGCATCTCCCTTGAAAACTCCCTGTTGAGAGAAGATATCTCTGAACTAAAAAATCGACCTTCCCAAATTTATCTACGTTTTCCCGAAATTAATACCATTTTGTCTATTTTGCTACCCCCCATGACACCTAAGGTTGCCAGTAATTTCACGCTATTTGGCAATTCGTCAGAACGAGCACTCTAGAAATACCGGTTTTACGGCTACATACGAAGAAACCTATATCTATTATTTGAACTCCAGGTGCATTAACCAATCGCTTTTGTCATCATCTGTCAACGAAAAAGACTTCGCGACACAAGGTTATTTTCAAGCCACAGGCAAATTAATAAAGCGTAATCGAAAGAAACAAGAACAGATATGTACTAATTCTAAGTGAAAACTTCCCTGCTGCTCTATAGGTTGAGTCGACAGTGTTAACAAACATGATCGTAAGTGAAGCTTCGAGTATCTGGTTGTGCTAAAGCATGTCATTCAGATATCTTTGTAACTTCTTTTGTTCTTTACACTTCAGAATTCACAAGATTATTTTTATTCTCAATAGCCAGACAGGCGTGGCTAAAAGAAGTAATCCATGGAATGCTTTTTTATGTTCAACTTATTTTTCAATAAACATTATTTGAAAATGAGCTTACTTTCTTACTTACATGGGAAACTATTTAAGTGTTGAGAAAGTTTGTTTGATTTTCAGTGAACTTGCAATTAAATACACATGCCTTATTAATAATACCTCACCTGTTTCTTCTTTTCCAGATCTTTTCAAATAACAATGGATTGACAATTACAAAAAAATGCATAACGATTGATGCTCAAGCTTCTGCTATAATGCTGTAAAATAATACGCTTTTCCTTTTCAATAAATTTATTTAAACATATACCATTTTTCCCGTGGATTGCAGTTTTAGTATGGTGTGTTGTGGAAATAAAGGCGAACATAGGAGACCTTTGGGGTTATGCCAATGGTGTTTTTAAAGTTGTAGCAAAAGTAGACAATTCAGCGTGTATTCAGGCGAGAAGCAGGCGATTCGGCGTATATTTAGGCGAAAAGTAAACAATTCAGCGACATTTGACAGAGCGACAAAAGGGGGGAAATCTGCATTATTTCCCCCGGACAAGAGAAAAAGCAGACATTTTGGCGCGTTCGCTCTTTATTTTCCAACACATTTCTCCCTTGTTCGTCTTTATTTCCCCTTTGTTGGTTGATTGGGTCAGACATATTTGCAGCTAGCTGCAGCTGCCCATCACGATAACACAAGTAATTCACTTTACAATCTCATATGGAGGGATTTATTACGAAATACCTGGCTTAATGTGGACGTTAATGAACGAAGCAATGAGTCTAAATTGTTTGCTATCCCTTCTGCGCTCTTCTCAAGTTCTTCCAAAATCCCGAGCTGTAACGCGCACATCAAACTAACTTAATAGTGTCGAATGTACAATGAATCTGATAAACTACAAAGTACGTGAACCTTTTCTGTTCATAAATCGATGGTGAGGAACTATTGTACTCGCTCAAAGGCGTCTGACTTTGTAGCTTCATTAGCTATTATAGAATTTATCAGCATTACTTTTTTTATTCACATGAGAAGTGGTTTCAAATTTTTGCGAATGCCTTTCGGTCTAAGAAACGCTGCGCAAACACTCATAGACGACGTTTTTCGAGGTCTCAACTTCATACATGCGTATGTTGATGACTGCCTAATCGCAAGTCCGGACAGAGAATCACATCTCAGGCATCTGGATCTTGTTTTGCAGTTTACTTCAGATATTCAATATATTTCTGGAGCAAACAATGTAGTTGCAGACGCCTTGTCTCGAATAAATTCTTTGAACAGTTTCAAAGGAATCGACCTTCAAAAAGAAGACACTGATCTTCAGCACGAGTTATCGTCCACAACCCTTAAACTACGCATCAAACAGATGGGAACAGGTAAGGCAACCTTACTTCGTGACACGTCTACAGGTCGGGATCGCCCAATCGTCCCGAAACATTATCGACGCAATGTCTTCAACACATTGCACAAACTTTCTCATCCAGGTGTTCGTGCAACCACCAAGCTCATAGCAGAACGGTTTTGCTGGCCTGGTATGAATAAAGACGTGAGGGAGTAGGCACGCTACTGTGTAAGCTGCCAAAAATCTAAGGTCATCAGACACAATAAATGTCCCTTAGGCTCATTTAAGACTCCTGATGCTCATTTCGACCACGTTCATCTGAATTTGGTAGGACCTTTACCAGATTCAAATGGATACTCTTACCTCTTAACCTGTGTAGATCGTTTCACTCGATGGCCAGAAGCAGTACCTATCAAGGACATCATTGCTGAAACAGTGGCCCGCACCTTCGTCGAACGATGGGTAGCAAACTTCGGTTGCCCGTCAACCATCACTATAGACCGCGGACGTCAGTTTGAATCCGAACTTTTCCGTCGTCTGACCACATTTTTAGGAATCACTCGATTCCGAACGACCGCCTACCACCCACAAGCAAACGGGTTGGTAGAACGTTTTCACCGACAACTGAAAGCTTCACTATCAGCTGCAAACGTTTCACAGTAGACCGACGCTCTTCCACTCTTCTTACTAGGTATCCGCAATGCAGTGAAAGCTGACATTGGATACACTGCGGCTCAACTCGTTTATGGAACGACACTTCGACTTCCAGGAGAATTCGTGGATCTTTCATCCCCTTCAACGAACATGGATCTAATCTCCTACACGAACAGGCTTACAAACGCAATGCGTTCAGTTAAACCTGCTTCCACACGACCACAATCAACCGATGTTTTTGTTCAACTTGACTAACAATATAGTACACACGTTTTCGTTCGTCGAGACGCACATCGACGACCATTCGAATCAGCATACGAAGGACCTTTCAAAGTTCTTCAACGCGAATCTAAGTACTATATAGTCGATAAGAACGGAACAAACGATAGAATCAGCATCGATCGCTTAAAAGCAGCGTATTTAGAAGGAAATCCTATTCACGTCGATTTCCCTTCGGTACAATCGCACAACACGACTCCTACACTCAAAATTCCTCAACCAACAACCGACACTAGCGATGACACTCCGAATGTGTCTGAAAATAAACGTAAAACGACACGTTCTGGAAGAAGAGTAAGATTTCCAGAACATTTAAACGACTATTGCACTTAAGGCACTACTCAACATTTTATATTATCTCGATCTTTCTTTTTACGATATATATTAATTTAAAAAAACAATTTCAAAATGCTCATATATTTATATTTTTATTTATAAAAAAAACAAAAATTTTTTTTAAAGCTGTTACGTGTGCTTGAGTTTATTTCCCTTTTTTCGCCGACATTGTGTTTTTATGTCCATACGAGTGTATTTCGACATGCACTTACATTTTTTTTCTTTTCCAGGACGGCTGGAAAAGAACGACGTAGTTTACGAGGAGCCGAAATTTTCATTGTACCTTTTCTTTTTTTACTATGTTGTACCTCGGTCTTATATAGTAAGGAAAGACGACCAGACGCTGCTAAATTTAGTAAGCTATCAGAAGAGTGTTTACCAACGACAAACTCGTTGGGTTTAAACTTCTGGCTGGCCACGTCTTAGGGTCATCACTGCCCTACTAGGGGGGGAGTGATCTGTAGTGATAAATAAATCCCCAAACTAAATAGCTTTGTAGGTTTTCGACATTGGATGCTGACCATAAGTTTTAGCGGACTCATCTAGCTGAAGGCGCTCGGTCATGCATCCGCACCAGATCACGTGCGGTAACGCTGTGCTCAACATCTACCGCAATCGCTAGCCAGATTAGATCAGAGAATTCCGATATATTGGTTATCGCCAAATACACTCTTCCGATCTCCTCGACTATGTCTTTTGATTTCTCTCGGTGGGAACAAAGTATATTAGATGTTACTGGTAGAAGCGTTGTCAAACGCTGAATACCTGTATCGTCCTCAGTTCTTTCGATTAAAATGTGAGCGAATCCAATAGTAGTGGATCACCAAGGCCTTTGAGTAGGAACCTAAGTATTTTAATCTATAAAAGAGAAAGAGAATAAAGAAATTTTAGAGTACAGCGAGATACTGTCTTCTGTTCTTAAAGATATGTGAAGTTTCCTCTTAAAGCACTCATGAGGAGTCACTTAGACTAGCTCAACCAGCACCAAACTCCAGCATTCGACTACTCTCAAGGAATAAAAAGTGGGTCTGCAATCCATTCTGAGATGTTGTGTCTCCAGATTCTGGGTGTCACCCCTAAATTTTGTATTGGGATTAAGCTCACGTAGGTGTTCAAGGGGATGCCCGAAAGTGTTTAGGAGTTGTAAGTCTTTAGGACACCTCTGGGATGCCTGTACTCTGATGGGTAAAGTTTCAGTGATTGAAGGCCCTCCTTGTAAGATTCAAATTCGAATCCCCGAACTGATTTCTTGAATTGCTGTAGGATACATTCCAGAGTGTCCTTATAAATTTAGAGTGGTGGAGGAAACCCAATAGATCCCTACTCCGAGTGAGGTCGAATAAAATTGTTCAAAATTGTGTGAAACGTCCTTTCGTCGAACTGGCCAAAAATGCACTTCAGTGTTACCAGTGTAAGGTTTGCTTGGAAGGAATTCTTATCTCAGAGCGAGACTTCAGATCGTGGAGTACCAACACTCATAAATCATTTCCAACTTGAGATCACCAAGGCCTTTGAGTAGGAACCTAAGTATTTTAATCTATAAAAGAGAAAGAGAATAAAGAAATTTTAGAGTACAGCGAGATACTGTCTTCTGTTCTTAAAGATATGTGAAGTTTCCTCTTAAAGCACTCATGAGGAGTCACTTAGACTAGCTCAACCAGCACCAAACTCCAGCATTCGACTACTCTCAAGGAATAAAAAGTGGGTCTGCAATCCATTCTGAGATGTTGTGTCTCCAGATTCTGGGTGTCACCCCTAAATTTTGTATTGGGATTAAGCTCACGTAGGTGTTCAAGGGGATGCCCGAAAGTGTTTAGGAGTTGTAAGTCTTTAGGACACCTCTGGGATGCCTGTACTCTGATGGGTAAAGTTTCAGTGATTGAAGGCCCTCCTTGTAAGATTCAAATTCGAATCCCCGAACTGATTTCTTGAATTGCTGTAGGATACATTCCAGAGTGTCCTTATAAATTTAGAGTGGTGGAGGAAACCCAATAGATCCCTACTCCGAGTGAGGTCGAATAAAATTGTTCAAAATTGTGTGAAACGTCCTTTCGTCGAACTGGCCAAAAATGCACTTCAGTGTTACCAGTGTAAGGTTTGCTTGGAAGGAATTCTTATCTCAGAGCGAGACTTCAGATCGTGGAGTACCAACACTCATAAATCATTTCCAACTTGAGATCACCAAGGCCTTTGAGTAGGAACCTAAGTATTTTAATCTATAAAAGAGAAAGAGAATAAAGAAATTTTAGAGTACAGCGAGATACTGTCTTCTGTTCTTAAAGATATGTGAAGTTTCCTCTTAAAGCACTCATGAGGAGTCACTTAGACTAGCTCAACCAGCACCAAACTCCAGCATCCGACTACTCTCAAGGAATAAAAAGTGGGTCTGCAATCCATTCTGAGATGTTGTGTCTCCAGATTCTGGGTGTCACCCCTAAATTTTGTATTGGGATTAAGCTCACGTAGGTGTTCAAGGGGATGCCCGAAAGTGTTTAGGAGTTGTAAGTCTTTAGGACACCTCTGGGATGCCTGTACTCTGATGGGTAAAGTTTCAGTGATTGAAGGCCCTCCTTGTAAGATTCAAATTCGAATCCCCGAACTGATTTCTTGAATTGCTGTAGGATACATTCCAGAGTGTCCTTATAAATTTAGAGTGGTGGAGGAAACCCAATAGATCCCTACTCCGAGTGAGGTCGAATAAAATTGTTCAAAATTGTGTGAAACGTCCTTTCGTCGAACTGGCCAAAAATGCACTTCAGTGTTACCAGTGTAAGGTTTGCTTGGAAGGAATTCTTATCTCAGAGCGAGACTTCAGATCGTGGAGTACCAACACTCATAAATCATTTCCAACTTGAGATCACCAAGGCCTTTGAGTAGGAACCTAAGTATTTTAATCTATAAAAGAGAAAGAGAATAAAGAAATTTTAGAGTACAGCGAGATACTGTCTTCTGTTCTTAAAGATATGTGAAGTTTCCTCTTAAAGCACTCATGAGGAGTCACTTAGACTAGCTCAACCAGCACCAAACTCCAGCATCCGACTACTCTCAAGGAATAAAAAGTGGGTCTGCAATCCATTCTGAGATGTTGTGTCTCCAGATTCTGGGTGTCACCCCTAAATTTTGTATTGGGATTAAGCTCACGTAGGTGTTCAAGGGGATGCCCGAAAGTGTTTAGGAGTTGTAAGTCTTTAGGACACCTCTGGGATGCCTGTACTCTGATGGGTAAAGTTTCAGTGATTGAAGG